GAAATGTGAATAGAGCGCATACCTAGGACACAATATTTGCTCATGCTTGGAAAGTTGTCCATATTGGTGTATAAGGTGTTTTGATCAGGTATTTTGGTTCAGAATAGGCCTACTTGTAACATTTCTTTAGGTTGTGGTAAAAGCCTCTGTAAGCTCTCAATAAGAGAGACCTTAGTTGGTGTACTTGGATTTCGTCCCTGCCCATCTTTGTTCCAGGCATGCAAAACCAAGTACAAAATGAGAGAATTTGATCTAACACTTTGTCATTGGCACCTATTTTGATATGCAAGGAGGTCTTTGGGAATAAGAAAGTGCAAGATATATAGGGAAAGGACACTTTGGAGCAGATCTGGGTGCCAGTCATTTCTACTTTCCAGCTATGTAGTTTTTAGACAAGGTATTTCTATTTCTCTGAGGCTTGGCTTCCTCTTCTGTAAGATGGGGATAATTTTTGTGGCATTAAAAGGTCATTAGGAATAAATGAGAATAATTAAGGCTTTGGGCGCAAGGCATTATACATAGGTAGTAGTAGCAAATTACATTTTTCTCCCTTAGAACTTTTTTATTGCTTTGTATTTATCCTTTTGTGTTACTTGAATGGAATAACAGTATTTATCATTGAGTACTTATTGCTGGGCTCTGATATAGGGCTTTCCCACGGTATATCATTTTTTTCTTGGTAACACATTTCTGAAGCAGAAACCTTTTAAATCAAATGTAGGGAACTGAGGCATGGAAATAAGTGTATTGCCTAAGGTTACAAAGCCAGTGAAGCAGAGCTGGTATTCAAACCCAGATGTCTCTTAATCTAGAGCATAGGCTCTTTACCACTAAGTTGATTATTTTTACCTTTCTGTCACTTTTCCCTGAATAATCTGTGACTTCTACTGGTTCTTAATTTTCTGTCTGCTTGTACCTATTGGGATTGTGTGCACATAGTTTTTGGACTTTTTCTAGTCTTGAGGGTGCCTAATTTTGATGGTGGTATAGACAGTGAGTCTGTCTACCCTAGTGTTTCCTGATTCTTTTCACTCAGAAGATTCTTTTCACTCAGAAGATTCTTTTAACTGAAAAGGTTATTATAGAGGTCATTCCTGTCTTCCTTCATTACCACTTCATATCTTGCCATAGATGTCAGCAGTTAACTTGTTCTTATAAGTCATCTTTGGTCCTTCAGAAGAGCAAATATGATCACCCTAATTTTACAGATCTGATAACTAGGGTCCAAGAAGGTGAAATTATTTGTTCAGTCACAGTGAATTAGAAAAAGAATTGGAGCTAGATTGTAGGGTTTCTGATTCTCAGCCCAGTATCCTCTTGACTGATTTAGGCAGAAGAGATACCTGTATATAAGGTGAAGATCAGGCCTAAAAAGAATTGAACTGGCTGGGCGCAGTGGCTTGGAAGATTGAGGCAGGAGGATTGCGAGTTCAAAACCAGCCTCAGCAACAATGAGGAGCTAAGCAACTTAGTGAGACCCTTTCTCTAAATAAAATACAAAATAGGGCTGAGGATGTGGCTTAGTGGTGGAGTGCCCCTGAGTTTAATTCCCTGTAAATGCCCCCCCCCCAAAAAAAAAAGAGATTTAGGTCTAGGCCCAGGACCTAGACAGTTCTGAAGGGACTTTGCCAGTTTACTTGTATACTTTTGAAGAACTAATCAGAAAGAAACACCTTTCTTTCCCAAAGAAAGTATCACATGGAACTGTGGGGAAGCCTCCAGATCACGTCAGTGTCTGCGTATCCTTAAGAAAAGATAGACTCCCAGGTCTTACTAGTCTGAGATAAACTTGGTAAAGAAGGAAACAGTGGACTATAGAGGAAGAACTTTCTGGTCTTTTGACTTATATCTTCAGCCTAAACCAGATTGTGGTTGGCTGGGACAGTTAGTGAGGATTGGGGATGGGAATCCTGGGAAGCTAAAGTGTTTCACTTTACCTCTTGCTGACAGATTTGATCTGGGATTTAGATAGGCAAGTTCCCTTCATTTAAAATTTATAAAAAGGAATTTTCTACTACTACTCTAAAAACAACCTAAAAAACAGAACAAAACCTTGATTTTGGAACCAGAAAGTAAAGGAAACCTTTTTCAATCTTGAGGCCTCAGACATTTCAATCCTGCTCAACATTTTCTTTCATTTTGTCTCTTTCCTTACCTTCTTTCCTTTCACCACTTTTTTCTTCCTCTCTTTTTTTCTACTCCTGCCCAACTTCCCTTATCTTTTTCTCTCCTCACTTTCCCCCTTACTCTTAAAAATAAGAAAAGGATACCTCCAATCAATAGACTGTTAGGTACTTGAGATTGGTGTAGATTCTGAGGCTGACAGAACATGGAAGTTGAGTTTTTGGATCTTTCTTTTAGTCTTCAGAACAAAAGTTGATGGGGCAGGGTTTGTCCAAACATATGTTCCTCAAATACTTAATATCTTCTATCTGCTAGGCTATGTCAGGTGCTTGAGCTGTTACATTTAATAAGACCCTAATCCTGCCATAAGAAAAGTCTTGCAGAGAATACATAGCGAAAGGCACCCCCTTCCCTAAGACAAATAATTTGAATTTTAAGGTAGAAGGAACTTTAGAGTTTTATTTGGTGCTACTTTCATGTTGCTCTGTAATGAAGTAAGGTGGACCTATATAAAGTAAGAGAAAACACATAGGCTTTGGCAAAGCCTCAGTTCACATCCTAGCTCTGCAACTTTCTGGCTGTTTGATTGCAAATGACACACTTACTTAACCTCACCTATCTTCAGTTACTTTGGCTGTAAAACGGGCGTGTTGTAAGATATTACGAGGATTAATAGTTTAACTTCTAGCCCAGTGCCTGGACATAGTAGTGTCTTTCCCTGTTCTAAGACCTTGTTTAAATCTTCACTTCTGTGAAACTTGAGACACCTGGTCAGACTGATTTCTTTATCCACTTTCAAATATATGAAGTTCTTTCAATTTTAGATCCTGCCTAATATTCTTAGCAGTCATTTGTGGGGGTTTGATACACTAGAACTGCAAGATGCCTGAGGATGAGGACTATTCACAATCATCCTTGCATTCTCCATAAGCCCTAACTCAGAACCATGTATATATATAGTAAGGCCATAGAGTGGTGAGAAAACATTCAGAATAATTTTATAGCTTTGCAGACTTTGAAAATTAAGAAGGATTTGAATATGTACAAATGAACAACAGCATGGACAAAAGTATGGGAGCTGGGGGGTATGCTCACTAGAGGTTAAGGCAGATGATGACCAGATCATGGCATACCTAGAGAGCAAGGTTGAGGTGATAGGGAACCTTGACTTTTTTTTTTTTTTTTTGAGCAGGGGAGTGGCATTAGGACCATTTCACAGTGTGGTTGCAGTGGGTTGGAGTAGGATGGGAGATTACTATGATAGTCTGTCCTTGTAATGCTAGTAATTTTTAAGAAATATTCCAATAGAGGAGGAGATAATGTGATCCTTTTTTTTTTTTTTTTTTGGTGGTAGGGATTGACTGCAGGGCCTCACATGTGCCACATACAAGGGAAGTGCCTTACCTCTCAGTTAATACCACCAGCCCTGCTGATTCGATCCTTAATCAAGAGGAAGTTGAAGGCTGATGGGGATGTGGCTTAGTGGTAGAGTGCTTGCCTGGCATGCATGAGGCCTTGGGTTTGATACCCACTGAGCACTTGATAGGTAGGTATGTAAGTAGGTAGATAGGCAAGAAGAAAAAGAACTTAACATAGTAGGGAATAAAGGAAAAAACATGTGAATATACAGCCCTTAGAGGGAAAACCAAAATAAAACACAAGGACTTGGCAGTTGTGGAAAAGGGAAAGGTGGGATTGACAGTAAGAACATTTGGAGTCCTAATAATGTAGAGAAGGAGTTGTGGCTCAGTGATAGAGCACTTGCCTGGCATGTGTGAGGCCCTGGGTTTGATCTTCAGCACCGCATATAAATAAATAAAAGATCCATTTACAGCTAAAAAATTTAAAAAAAAACATGAGGAAATGATTATACCACTTGCTAAACCTTGGAGGCTGGGAAATAGAAGACAAGTTCACCTTGTATACGTGGAGTTGGAGATGCTGCTGCTAGTTCAGTCCGTGCACTCACCTGCCCTCCTTTGACCTGGGCCTATAGAAATCTTTCAGGTCTTTGTTTTTGCCGTTTTGTTCCAGATGTGGAGTCCCCCCTTACCAGATCTCTGTTTATATCTTGAAATAATTCTCACTCTTTCTCTGAAACAAGATAGTGCATATAAGGTGCTTAGCTTAGAACCTAATCTATTTCCAAGTGTGAGGTAAATGATAGTGGCTATTCTAAATGGCTCTTTTCATTGTGGTTTGGTCCTCACAGAAGCTACAGATTATAGACTAGAGAAGTCTTTGGAACCACCTGGCTCAAAGACTAAAGAGTCCTTTAACTTGTATTCCGTAAAAACACAAGTTAAAGGACTCTTTAGTCTTTATACTGGATTGCAGGTAAATGGAGAGAATATCAGGCTAGCTTGTAAATGGGTAGGGAGCTCTGAGCCATATCACCTAGAGCCTAGAGAACATGTTTTCTGCCATCTTCTGTTTTTTTTTTTTTTTTTTTGTGATACCGGGGATTGAACTTGGTGACACTCAACAACTGAGCCGCATTCTCAGCCCCACTTTGTATTTTATTAGAAACATTCTTACTGAGTTATTTAGCACCTCATTTTTGCTGAGGCTGACTTTGAACTCACGATTCTCCTATCTCAGCCTCCCAAACCGCTGGGATTACAGGCTTGTGCCACCATGCCCAGCCCCTGACTATTTTATGTGAAATAGAACTCTACTCTTTCTCCTTGTTATTTCTTTCCTTCCTTACCCTGCTTTGATTTTTTTCTTTTTTTTTTTTTTTTAAATAGCACTTAGCACTGTCTGGGGAAAAAAAAGTGCAAAATGTATGAGGGTAGGAACTTTAATGCCCATACTATCCTAAATTAATGTCTATTCTGAATAGGACCCCTAATGGACTTCTCTCTCTGTTATAGGTGAGGACTGTTCCCAGAGGCAGTTGCTGCTAACCCTGTAACCCAAAGGAGGAAATAACTGGCTAAGTCCAGCCTCAATACTGGTGAGTGAGAGTTCTTGGTCAGACTCTGGGCAAGCTAGGGCTAAGATACAGGCTAACAAGTTTGGGGATTATTTTTTACCCTTAGTACAGATAACTTACAGGTGATTACTTTCCTACGCCATGACTAAAAGATTGGATATTGGGATAGGTAGCCTCCTGGTCTGGGAGTAGTGTTGAGATAACTTTCTTGGAGCTGCGATGAGAATGTCTGGTATCATTTTTATTTACTATTAGTAAGGCAAAGCAGGCTTACTTCTTTCTTGCTTCTGCCAGTTGCTTTCTGCTGGGGGGTATCCTGGGACCTGGCAGTTTTGCCTGTATACCCATAAGCTCTTTCAATATGACCTCCACAACTCTGAGGCTTTCTTGACTTCAGTCTCTGCCATGACCTACCTAGACCCTAGGTTAGCCTTAGGAAATCCTATAATTCTTTTAGTCCTGAAAAGTGTAATAGTAGTGGTGGTGATTGAGTTATATAGTAAGGCTATATGAATGGGAAGTCAGGAAAGAAGAAGGAGGACCACAGATAATGAAGGGAAGGAAATCAACATACTAAGAACTTATTTTGTTAGATTTCCTTTAATCTATTTAGACAATTCCATTTTAAAGATAAGGAAATTGAGGCTTAGGAAGCTGAAAAATTTTTTAGGCTTTATGCCTGACACCCCATAAAGCTGATTGTAGTACCTAGTTCAGTCTAAATGTAAATAATACCCTTGTTTTTCAGGATTTGATGGCTTTTCCTGCACTGCTAATCTTTCTAGTATCCTGGTTTTTCTTAGAAAATTCATGAAGATAGACCTCTTTAAGGATTCTATATTTGAGAGGTTCAGAAGGGCAGTCAGGAATTAGTGATCCCTTCTGAGCAACAGTTTTTAGAGGGAAGGTGTTCAAAGATTGAGATAGGAAAAACCTTTATGTAGGCAGAAACCCAGCTAAATAGGACTGGGAGGAGAAGAAAATGTCTAACACATGGATCCCATAAATATTTGACTGATACAAATTGGGGACTTGGAGAGTTGGGTTGAAGTTGGAAAACCTGAGTTTTTATCTATTTCAGTGTGTGCCCTTCAACAACTTTTATTTCCCTATTTGTAAAATTGGAATGCCTGCCTGCCCCCCAACCTTTGTGTGTTTGACAACCATGTGGGGATATTGTAGGAAGCTAATGAGAAATGTCACATTGTGAACCATAAAGCAGCATGAAAGAAACAAGAAAGAAGAAAATGAGAAGAAAGCATTATAACTATGTAGGATCTCAGCCCCTGACTTGTTTGCCACTCTACTACTCACCAAAGTAAAAGGGAAGGTTTTCCTTTGGGAATTTCTGTTGTAGAACATCTCCCATACCTTCTCTTCCTTCCTTTCTCCTGTTGACCCTTCCCACAGCAGCTCAGTTTTTCCATAAGGAAAAGGATTCCAGAGCACAGATGACAAAGCCAGACAGCATTCACAGCTGCAGTTTACAGCATGCAGGTTGCAGAATGTGGCTTTAAATGCATTTATACCCTGGCTGCAAGGCCACTGCTGGCATAGATATTAAAGCAGTTTTCAAGAGTCTATCCTAGTGTAAGTCTGTTCTCACAGAAAGGTTTTTCTGAGAAGTTGCCTTGTTTCCTTAGTGTCATCTCAGGAGAAAGCTATTCCTATTTTGATCAGATTTCTTGCCCCCTTCCCTTCCTTATCCAAATTATAGTGAAAAAGGCATTTATACTGTAGTTGCATATCTTATTGAAAACCATAGTCATTCCAGTTTCCTGTCATCTTGCTCTTTCCCTAATGGACATTTTGTTTTTCCCTCTCTCTGCCTGAGGGGCCATGGAGGAGTCTTATCCGCACCTGGTGCTCTTGGATTTCACATAGCCAACTCCAACCTTTTCTTCATACTATGAGTTTCCAGGCTCTTGTTGACACCTCTTTTTATCTTGGTAGTCTAAACTTCTATAGTTTCTGGCCTTTCCATGGCCTGGGTAGATCATATTTTTCCTGAAACAGTTTGACTAGTATTTTAAAATATGAATGGTTTCAAGGTGAGTGTGGTGGCACATAATTCCAGCTATTTGGGAGGCTGAGGCAGGAGGATTGCAACTTGGAGGTGAGCCATTTAGTGAGATCCTCAGCAACTTAGTGAGACCCTGTCTCAAAATAAAAAGAAAAAGACTAGAGATGTCTCTCAGTGGTAAAGCACCCCTGGGTTCAATTCCCAGTACAAAAAGTTTCTATATAAATAAATGTATAATGTAGAGTTATCCTTATAATAGATTCAGCTAATAGCCTCATTTTTCCAAAACCTAAATAAAAAACAAGAGGGAAGCAAAGGGTTGTCATCCTTAAGCTGGTGCTAATTCTTGTTTTTATGTGTTATTAATAATAAATTTAGCATTCTGGTTTCTAACCCCCAGTATGATTAAAAGCAACATATTAAAAAAGGGAAAGGAGGTACTATATTAATAGCTGCTGGAGGTGATACCTGAAAGCTGTTAGTAATGGGAAGGGTGAAAGAAAATGATAAGAAAGAGAAGTTAAAACAGCAGACTGGAGGGCAGTAGTCCTACAAACATCTATGTGTATCAGTAAGATACGGGTGGAGCTATATAATTTCTACCATTGTTTTAAATTCTTTTTTGAAGGCCAGAATTTTCAGAAAATGTTGCATTAATTAATTATAGCATCTATTATATTATCACTAATATAATGAATACTGTACATGAATTTCATTTTCATAGCAACTTAGGAGGTAGGTGGTGATATTCTTGCTTTATAAATGACTGAGACTTAGGGACCTGTAGGCAGAAGAGCTAAGCTTAGAACCCAAAAGAATTTAGCTCCAGAGAACTGTTTTTAATGTTATCCTATATTGGCTCTTTTTTTATGACCTAAAAACCCTGTCCTTCTCAACTTCATGGGCCAGGAGTTTCCAAACCTTTTCTTGTCATTTTCCAATATAAATTTTTCCTTTTGAAGATAACTTGTTCATGATTCATTTACTGAGTATTTGATGAACTTCTACTATGAACCAGGTTCTATTTTAAGTATTTGAGATGTACCAGTGAATAAAAAAGTTTTCTCTTGTGGGGGTGGGAGAAGTATGCAGTCTTTCATCATTGGGATTTTTTTGTGGATGGCCTTTATCAGGCTAAGAAAGTTCCCTTGTATTTCTAATTCATGGAGTTTATATTCTAGTGGAAGAAAGTATATAAATGAAGCTGGGCGTGATGGCGCATGCCGTAATCCCAGTGATTAGGGAGGCTGAGGCAGGAGGATTATGAGTTCAAAGCCAGTCTCGGCAAAAGTCAGGCACTAAGCCCTGTGTCTAAATAAAATATAAAAAAGGACTGGGGGGCTGGGGTTATAGCTCAGTGGTAGAGCGCTTGCTTAGCATGTGTGAGGCACTGAGTTTGATTCTCAGTACCACATAAAAATAAATGAATGAATTAAATCTACAACTAAAAAAAAAATATTTAAAACAACAACCAAAACTTAAAAAAAAAAAAGTGTGGTGGGAGGGCTGGGGATGTGGTTCAGTGGTCGAGTGCCCCTGAGTTCAATCCCTGTTACTGAGGAAAAAAACAGAAGAAGAAAAAAGAAGTGTATAAATGAATAAACGTGAAGAAAAATAAAGCAGGATAAGGAAATAGTGAGCAGCTTGATGATCAAAGAAGGCCTCCCTGAGAAAAGATCTACCCAGGAATCTATCCTAAACAGGGCAAGGGGTTATATTACAAAGGAACAGGTGAGCATAGCTTCACCCATGGGGCTGTAGCAAGACACACCCATTTCTGTGACTGAGCGCCTCAGCACCCAGCTGGGGAGTGGAACTCAGTCACCCGTAAGGTTGGCCTCCCACAATCAGACATCCATTTTTTTTTTAAAAAAATCTACTTATTAGTGACATAATGATACATCTAAGTTTGCCTGATTGCACCAACTGGTACCTCTAGTCCTCAATCTGATACAATGTTGAATAGAAGTGGTCAGAAGAGACAACTTTACCTTGTTTCTAGTTCAGGGGGTAAGGGAAGAATTGAGTCTTTCATCATTAAGATTGTGTGTGTGTGTGTGTGTGTGTGTGTGTGTGTGAGAGAGAGAGAGAGAGAGAGAGAGAGAGAATGAACACGCCTTATACCAGGCTAAGAGAGTTTTATAATGGATAGGTATTAGATTTTGCATTCTATGTTTTTGTTCTACTAACATGGTATATAAATTTTATTTTTAGTTATTAAACCAACTTTGCATTCCTAGAATTTGGTTGTAGCATATAATTGATTTTAAATTTTAAAAATGAATTAAATTCTTTTAAAATTTGCTGAGGGACACTGATCTGTAGTATCTTCCCTCCTCCCTCTCCGCCCCCTTCTCCCCAATTACTGGGGATTGACCCCCAGCTCTTTTTATTTATTTTGAGACGAACTCTAAGTTTCCCAGGATGGACTTGAACTTGTTGGTTCTGCTTCAGTTTCTTGAGTTAGCTGGGATTGCAGGCATGTACCACCAGGTCAGGCTTAGTCCATAGTATTTTGTATCTTTGTCTGGTTTCGGTATCAGGGTAATAGTGACCTCAGAGAATGAATTACAGTGTTTCCTCCTGAGTTTGTAATGGCTTGTTATTATTTCTTCTTGAAATATTTGATAGAATTCACCATGCAGCCATGTGGGTCTGGGCATTTTTGGGGGGGGAGGGGGGATTTTAAAATTACTAATTGTTTTCCCCCCTTATAATAGATCAACTTAGAATCTGTTTCATTTTTAGTCACTTTGGATAATTTTTATCTTTCTAGGAATTTGTCCACTTCATCTAAGTTGTTTAATTTGTTGGTTTAAAATTATTCATAGTATTTCCTTATAATTTATTTAACTTCTATAAGATTGTGGTAATATTCCCCTTTTCATTTCTGGTTTTGGTAATTTGTGTTTTCTTTCTTAATTAGCTTAGTTACAGGTTTGTTAGTTTTGTTGATATTTTCAAAGAACCAATTTTTGGTTTTATTGTTCTATTCCAT